GGGAGTTAGCTTTAAGTGCTTTCGGATGTAACTCACCCTCAGGTTCTCATCTCATGGCTAAGTTGCTAACGTTGCTAACATTAAAGTGAGGAATACCCATTCTCCACTAATGGATTCTGATGTTTGTTAAAGTGTTAAGCCTCTGCAAACTTGTGTACATTCACAAGCATGAGCCAGGCTTTTTGCTCTTTTTATTTTCACATGCGCTTTGAAGGCTATAGCTTTTTGTTTGTTTGTCTGGATTTTTTTATTTATTTATTTTTTCCCAGGAATAAGGCTGCATGATATTGTTTGTTAATCGTTATTGGCTGCAATAAGGCTCCAACAAATCCCAGTTTTTTCTGTTGTGTTTAGGCTTGCCTCCATCATGAAATTTTAGCTGACAGTTACGTTCCAAATAAATAATTGTGATTAACAATTGAATTACCTTTTTTGGGTTAGTTGTATGCAGCTATAAAGAACAACATAAAGTGACCAAATTGGCTAGCTTCCTAGCTCCCAACTGATGACAGACACAACTCAAGCTCAAATAAACAAACGTTACTCATTATTGCCCTTTTAACATGTTGTAGCAGCACCCACAAAGTAGAATTTTTGTTGTTTTTGTCAGACCTTTTATATGTCTCAATAAATTAGTTTTTAGCTTTATTTCATTTATATGCATTTGCCACAATCCTACTAACAAAAAAGCACCCAATTCAAATTTTGTTTGTTACGGTGTGACCATGGGATGCTAAATGTGGAAAATAATTGCGGTCAGCTTAAACAAGCATCCAGAGCATACTGACTGATCATAGACCTTATTAATGAGTTTGAATGGTTGTTTGGTGAATCAAGATATATTTCAAGTCATCCAACAAAAGTAAATTATTTTACTGTTCTTTAACCATGTCACATCAAAGGTTTATCAATATCTCTCTCTCTCTCTCTTTCTCTCAGACACACATGCACACCCACACTCTCTTGGTCAGTTCCGTTGATGGAGAGTTTGTAGTTTACAGGCTGCACTGATTAGGGCCTGCTCTATCTGCAGAAACCCTGCTGAGAGACAGATAGAGAGAGAGAAAGAAAAGGGGAAGGGGAGAGAGTGAGAGAGCGGGAGAGTTTGTAAACCCACTTTCCCTCAGTCCTGCAGTCTCTTCCTAATTGATGGATGTCCTCCTTCTCGCACACACTGCTTAGCTTCATGCAGACTTGTGTTGTCTAACAGTGTCATCATGGTAGATTTTGAGATTTAAGACTGAAGAGTTTAGTGCTCCACAGCAGCATTTTATTTGCATCCTGTAGACCTCTTTGTGTACAAAAGACAGGAAGCAGCAATACATGCTATGGTGGACAGTAAGGTACAAGTAAGATGCAAGACAAAGTGGCAAGACATTAAGGAAAGTAAAAATGCTATAAATCGGCGTTTCCCCTACCATTAAATAGGCCAAGTAGCTAAACTCATGTACCACCAGGCTTGGATGAGATACAGACATTACGATGTAAGTGACAGGCTAACATGTCTTTCATTGTGTTCGTTCTTTGTGTGGTCATTTGCCTCATTGGGCCAAAGTAAAATTCTCACTCTATTTTCAAATGTAAACAAACATGCCCTCAAGTCCTGTGCAGAACCAATCACCGATATTATAGCAGTGTGATATAGCATTATGTGGCAGAGGCGGGCTGGTTTGTACTGGAGGAGTAGTATCTTGCACTAGTCTTCTGAGGTTGGTTTCCTAGACATGTATTAAGCCAGTTGTCACCAACCCTGCTCCTGGAGATCTACTTTCCTGCACGTTTCATGCCCACGTAACGCACCTCCTTCAGCTAATCAAGGATGTCTGAAGGCAACAATTTGATGGATCAGGTGGAGTTCATTAAGGTTGGCACTAAAGTCTGCAGGAAAGTAGATCTCCAGGATTAAGCCTAGTCTTGGACTATATTGCAGTGCCATAATAGTGAATCACCATTTGAAAAATGTTCTTCTTCTAGGCTTAGCCTTGATCTGCTTCTGGGAAACTAGACCATCTAGACCGTCTGTCACAATAAACTTTAAGAAATATTAGTTTGGCCTGGGTTTATTTAAATATGGTATTTATAAGACATGATACCCAAATGCAGTGTTTCATGTTTACCATTTTATTGAAGATAAAACCATTGAGAGAGCTCCGCTCATGGGTCTTTGCAGACATAAGCAATTAACTTTCTGTAGCAGTCTTTAGGCCCTAATATGCAAAAGCACTTTTTTTTATTTATTGTAGACTTACAGAGAATATAAAACTGAGTAGGTGAGTGTGGACTAGAGGTGTAAAAATGCATCATGATGCATCAGTCTGAAGGTAGCGATTCACCTGCATAGATCTGTCAATTTAACAACTACGCTTTGTTTTTTTTTAAATTTTGAATCCTAACAAAAACTTGTATAGAACTCATCTTCTGTGATGTTATGGAATTTCTCTGTTCCTCCTTGCACAAATGATTGACCTTGGCTGGTCTTGGTGCACAAAACATTTTAAGTTTTGACTATAAAGCATGTCTCTTTCAGCAAACAGAATACTAACCCTTTGCATTTAGGTTTAGGCGTATTAAAAATAACTGTTGGAGAGGTTGAATGATATGTTGGTGATATTGTACAGTACAGTCAGCACTTCTTGAACAGTCAACAACTGCATGTGTCATAAAGCAATAAGCTAGAAAAAGACAGCTTTACAGTGATTTTATCATGGGTAGAAAGGGTTGTTGGGCACTAGGCGGAGCTAACAGTTTCACACATTTGTTTTTCTCTAACTGGGTTTCGTACTACTTCTGGCAGATCTACCATGCGTATGACTTTTGAAGCTAGAAAGCCATTTAGGTAACATTGTTTACTTTGTTACTTCAAATCAAAACCTAACATTGCATCTTAATAGAGGAGCCTGCAAGCCTGTTTAGCTGTCTGCGGAGTTGGTCATCCTAATTCAAGCTGGTATGAAAGTAAGTTTAAAAAAAAAAAACATGTTCTTACATAGGACATATTTTGTAGTGTTTCGAGCCATTAGTTTCATATACATGCTGATTCCTGGTCCTACCTATGAGTATGATCAGTGGTCCATGCAGGCAATATGACAGCACATTAATAAAGCATTCAGTAGTTGGTTCAAGTGAGGCGGTCATAGGTGTCTGTATATTGAATATTTTACAGCCAATCGGATCTGTTTTATAAAGACAGATTTAAACCTGAAAACAACAACCAGTGTATAGCATTGTAGCATAGTAACAAGTAGCTGATTGACTTTCGTGATGCCATCGTTTTATTTATTTTAAGTATTTCTACAAATTGTTTGAGTTTTTTGTTATATCGTTAAATATATTTTGAAATACGCAGCCTTGTTTAAATGTGGCACTGCTATTTTGCTGGTGCATTTAATGCCAGCTTGTCCACAAACCTAAGAAAAACTGAACATATCATGAATGTGTTCAAGTGTTGTGATGTTATATATTTTATTGTATCATTTGCCTTTGCCTATTAGTTTCTTTGCTAAGAGTTCTGTAGATGTTCTACTACAAGACAAAGATGGCTGTAGCAGCCTTGTATTTTACTGACGCTCATGATTGTGCAGTTCGCTCGTTATTCATCGCACGCATCCTCCACCGCCGCTTTATTTGCCCTTTGACCAAGCTCATTCCATACCACTCCAGCTCCGAGAGGATTCCACGGCTTTTTAGTGCGCCCATCTGTCAATACAATTTTGCAAAAATGATTTGAAAACCTGTGCATTTATTGTGTCTCCGTAAGCCAAGAAGCTGGCCAGGCTCCAGTTGGAGCTCATGTTAAGGGAGTATTAAGGCACCCTCTTCTGTTCAAGCCACTTTCCTGCTGATTCATGGCTGAGAGCATGATGAATTACCTTTGGGTGGTTAAGGAATCGCATTAGAAAGAGTTAAAAAATTATTTGCATAATTCATCACATTCCCTAAAGACCCATGATGATTTATAAATTACCGTGCAGTGGCACTGGATATATGGGGTTGGGTTTTATTTCCCCTCTTCTTGTTCTACAGGAGATTTTTTTTATGCTTAGACTCTTTTATATCAGTTTTTTTTTTCTTCTCATTTGGCCTATCTTTTATACCGGGGCTTAGACTTAGATGCCAAGCACCGCTTGGTCCTGGCTTAGAACTCATTCACTCACATACTAACTCACTCAGTGATGTACAGTACCGTGCAAAAGTTTTAAATGCATTGTTTAAAACCATTTATCTTGGCAATAAGTGTGTTTTTGCTTATAAGATACATAGCCTCTAAGTTGTCATTTTCTCCAGTACCTAAAACCTTTTCACAGTATTGTATATTTATTTTAAAAATAAAACACAGAAGATAAAATACATAAAATACCATATACGTATACCCCCCATTTTCTTTTGCAACTGGGTACTTCAAATTTTGGGCTTCTGGTTGGTGGGTTTTAAGCACACTTTAGGCTGGATATTTTTTAGCAACACTGCACTCAAGTATCTTTCAGTGCTTCATAAGAGTGGGACTTTGTATCACTGACACTTTGTGTCCTTTGTTTGTTTGTTTGTTTTTTTTACTTTTAGCTTTAGTTTTAGCTTTTCATTGTAGCGGTGATGAACCTTAAAAAGTTGGTGAGGTGGGTTTTTCTCGTTGTATTTGATCTTATTGCATTTTATAATTCAAACATTTCAACCCTTCAAGAGTCCGACATTCTAGCCACTTTTGAGGCGGCATATCAAGATAAATCTCTTCAATATACTGTTGAATGTTGCGCCGCTGCAAAGATGATGTGATATAGGCCTATGTGCATAGTGCAGAATTGTATTTTTTATATATATATATTCTGCTATTCACAGCCTCTCTGCCCTTTCAGTGCTCCACCACTGTGTATTATTGGACTATTGGCTGTATGGAAATGAGCTGTAATCTGGTGCTGTATTGTAGTGTGCTGTGACTCATGTAGCATGGACTGTCATTAACCTATTAAACTTATTCCTCCGTCTCTCTCTCTCTCCTCCCACAGAACTCGATACGGCACAATCTCTCGTTGAACAAGTGTTTTCTCAAAGTGCCTCGCTCCAAAGATGACCCAGGAAAGGTAAGGCATCCTGTTTTATTATTTCATTTCCTTTTTTTCACTTATCCTTTTTATTTCTTCTTTCTTTTTGTCTCCTGCTTGCTTTTTTTTAGTGTAAGTTGTATTTTCAAAATCAAGTTGCTGCATTTTACATGAGGTCCGAATGATGCATTGCGTTCATATCGTTGAGCATTTCTCTGGTGAGAGCAGACTGCAGATTCAGGAATTTAAGAAATACATCTTGTGGGGATAGAGCGAGCAGACTGAGAGAGAGAAATGCAGAAATGTTGTAAAAGTGCTCTCTGGATGTCTCTGTGGGTCGAGCAGAAAGCACTTCAGCCAAGCACTTAGCAAAGCCAAGAGAAGTGCAGCACCTGCTGCTCCTTCACCAGCAGACCAACTTGCAGGACACTGCCAGGGCACAATGGGCCAGCCTGCTAATATAGTTTGCAGTGACCGTGGCTGTAGCCAGCCATGAATGCAGTGAAAGAAGCACAGTCTTAGGACCTTTTCTTTAGAAAAATGCTACTTCTCTCAGTTAATGGTGTAGTTAAATGTAAAATCAAATTTACACAATTCTCTGCTTTCTTAGAACATATTTCGTGTGCCAAGACATGTTTTTAACTTTGTGACATGCTTTTGTCCTTTGTAATGAATAACACTTGTGTCGAACAATGTCAAAAACCACAAACAGATCTGTTCAGGATTATCTAACAATTTGATTTACGTATGCACTTTGCTGATTAGTGGGGTTTAAGCTTCCAATGTTTGTTAGCTGCTTTGGCATTGTAGCTCCAGTGCAAAAATAAAGAAGTAACCTTAAAACACCAAACATGTCTTGGCTAATTTACTGCAATTGGAGAAATGGGCTAATGTGTACTTTTTCTTTTTTGTGCAAATTCTTGCAGTAAAAAAACAAAAATAATATGTGTTTGAGTATTCAAGTACTCATTCAGTAACTTCAGCAAATATTTTAAGCCTGTGAAATGCTGTTCGGACCAGATCTAGACCAAATTAGCGACAGACTTTTTTTGTCCAAGTTGTGTAAATGTAAAAAGCCACCCACAGCTAAAAATCTACCAGTAGAAGAACATCATAGAATTAACTGCAACTCATAGCTGATAGATGACGCAAGTAGTATCTCCCCATTGTATCCCCACATCGTATGCCAATTGTCAGAAAATCTTTATCGTATAATCTGGCATGCAGCCCACATCAGCAGAAATGTTATCACGCAGTCTGACATAGAATTTGGCTGAGATTTTATCATCATCATCTCATACTGTGTTGCATGCAGTTTGCAGCAAGCTTTAGATGCTGCTCATATCACATCATGGAGTGACTGACTAGTGGTAGGCTGGTAAAAATTTAGTCACGCTTCCACCACGGCACTGGCTGCTTTTATGAATTGCATACACCCTAGTGATAAATTACATGTATCGGAGCAAAACTCAGTCCGAGTCTAAGTCGCGAACTCGAGCCCAAGTTCGGTTAAGTCATAGACAAACAAGTTTCAAATTGTTAATATTGTGGTGAAAGGTGTAATTTTGGGTTCGTTGGTGGGGATATGTCTTAAAAGGCATACCATATTTCCAATATGATGAATGCATCATTCACTTTCATATTTTTGCTAGCAGAAGCAGCTGTATCTTGATATTTTACAAATCACTGTAGTCTAATTCCAGGACTCTAATACTATATCACCACTGATGTGTGATGTAACGTGATGTTACACAGAGAAGTGGGAGGTTGGTGCAGTGGGAAAGTGCCTTTTTTTCCCTGCAGCATTTGGGGAAGCACTACTTACTTCCTTACTTACTGCTTACTTCCTCTTCCCGTCATGACTAATAAAACACATGTTGCAGAGCCCGAAAAAATATTAGTGTATCTCTCTGGTAAATGTGCATGTAGATTATATCTCATATTTAGCACACACTCATATTGTTGCCTTCATTGCTTTTGGATGGTTTATTGGAATATGTCAGTGAGTGATTAGTCTGGATAGTGAACACCAGTCCTAGAGGGCCGGAGTTGTGCAAAGTTTGATGATTGTTCTGCTCAAAAATACCTGATTCAACTCAGCAGCTAATTGCCAGGTTTAGTTGGTGTGTTATCAGCAGGAAAATCACACAGCTGTGCTGAACAGCAGCTCTCTGTGATTGCAGTTCTCTAGTTTGGACCCCTCTTTTCCCATCTTAAATACCCATTCAGGCTGTTTTAAGAGCGCACACATGTGTATATATATATATATATATGCTTATACACACTTGTTACCTTACAAGTTACCTTATAGTTGTCCCATTTGTGTCTTCCGTATATATGCACTTACCACATAGGTGCACTTTGTAGTTACTGACTGTAGTTCATCTGTTATATATACTGTGTGTATGTGTGTGTGTGTGTGTGTATTTTACATATAATTTAAACTTACCATATGGGAACACTTTATAGTGAGTGTACTAACTCGTCTATTGCTGCACAGTTTGTGTTAGTTATCCTCTAGGGCACAGGACGCTGCCCACAGGACACTGTTGACTGTATATTTTTGGTTGGTGGACTGTTCTCAGTACATCCGTGATACTGAGATGTTTGTAAACCTCCCAAATAATATCTGATCTGTGGGGGTCCAGACCATTACAGAACAGGGTGCAAAGGGTCTAAAAAAGTATACAGAAAAATAAATGGACTACAGTCTGTAATTGTAGAAATACTGAGTGCATCTGTATAGCAATTAGAGCTAATAAAATGGACAATAAGTGTAGATGCAAGGTGTACTTGATGCAGCCTGTCAGTGTATGTCTATTAATATCTCTGAAACTACATATGAAAGTATACAGGACTTCAAAAAAGATATAGAGAAAATGACCCGACCTTACAGACTTTACAAGAGCTGGTTGACCACTAAAACTGTCCCCATCACATAAAAAAAAAGCTCCACTCTTGCTTCCGCATAGGTTAGAGCGAAGTGAAGATGTTATAACACCTTAAAATACTATTAAAAGTACCCTTTACATTCACTAAACAGGAGTATTATGTTTTCTTCAGTATTCACATAGCATTCAATAGGGGTGGGAATCTCTAGGCACCTCACGATTCGATTCGATTACGATTCAGAGGACTATTATGCGATTATAAAATGGTTATTATTTTTTCTATACAGGATTTTTTTTCTCACTCTGTGATGACCTGTTACTTTTAAAGCAAAATACTTATAGTCCATAATGAATTTACTTGCAGTATCTTTTATTAATAAATCAAATGGAAGCGATGTGGCAAGTCAACTGGAAGGCTGTCATTCACTGCTCTTGTTTGGAGCACATGAGATGCAGGCTGTCACTCATCTGTGATAAAATGCGCAGTTATGGTGAAATAAGATCCAGTGGCAATGGGTGTCCACGCAGCAGATTACAGCAATTCTACCTGCTTTCTTTAGTGATTTCATAACTTCGGTTTTGGTCTCGTTGTAGAGAGTGGGAGGATCACTGTGTCAGTAAGGCTCTACAGTGGGCAACATAGCACGAAAGCCTCGGTTCTCAATGACTGAGTACGGACGCTAGAGATGAAACGGTTACCGCTTTCACGGTAAACCGCGGTAAAATTAATGACGGTTAGTAGTACCGTTTGAACTTTAAAGTATCGTTAAAACCGCGGTCGATTACCACGGTGTGAAAAACTCGCTGCACAGAATCAAACAAAGGCAGAATCATCTCTCAGACGCAGCTCTGTGTGTATGTAGAGGGGGAGGGGGAGGGGTAGAGAAGGGAGAACATGGCGGAATGTAGTGACAGAGATTCGGAGATATTTCAGCCTTCGTTGAAGACCAAGTCTGACATTTGGTCATGTTTTGGGTTTTATAAGGATGCAGAAGGAAAGTTAATTGAAGATGACCACCCTGTCTGCAGAACAGGCCGAAAGAAAATAGCGGCGAAAGGGGGCAACACATCAAACCTTATGAGTCATCTTCGCGACCACCACCCGCTACTTTAGAGAATGCAAGGTTAACTTTAACGGAGAAGTCTGTGGGGACTTCGAAATAGAAGAAATGTCATGGTCTGTGTGGTTTAACTAATGCTTATGGTTCATTAATAATATAAAATGAAGCTTTAAGCGTCAAAAAAAAAAAAAAGAAAAACAATCGGTGAATCAACTGTGAATCGAAACTAAAGCTTTTAACACATATTTCTGTGGAGCAGAGTCTCCAAAATGAGCTCTAAGTTATCAGTCACACAAGCTCTGGAACGAGACGCTGCAGAGGTTCAATCTGCACAGCTCCCCTTTCTCGCTTGCAGTGTTTACTTTCTGAGAAGAGAATAACTCACTGTGTCCCCTACATAGTGCGCTACTGTTCAAACAAACACGATCATCATTAACAAGCAGCTGAGTTTTAAATAGGGAATTTGTAACCTATTGTTAATATATTGTTATTGTGAACATTTCACGCACTCTTTGGGTGAAGGATTTGCTATTTCATGATCCACGAAGTGCACTACATAGGGAAGATAGTGTGCTTTGGGACGGGACCTCGCACGAGTAAACGCTGTGTGTTGATTTTGGGAAAAGCAGAGTTTCAGAGATTAAACTTTAGGAGTGTTTCTGCCGCAGCTCAGATGCGCGTTAATTTTAAGTTATGTTTTAGTTTTAAAATGCTTTTAGAGAAGCAGCTCCACAGGTGAAGACACACTGTGAATTCTATGCTGTCTGCTCAGTCACGCAGTTCCTCTGTGATTTTGGCTGTTTTTCCTGGTGCGCTGTGTTGATTAAGGGTTCAGCGCCACAACGGCACAATAATGCTGCAGTTGCAGTTAGGACAGAAATCCCCCGAGTGCAGCACTTCTTAGAAGTAGTCATTTTCCAGGTCTTTCCAAGACCCACCTCAGAGTTGGTCCAGATTTAATTCTCTATGCAGGGAAATCCCTAATTATTGCACTTAATAATAATAATAATTACAACGGTAATAATAATAATAATTATTATTTACAACAGTAATAATAATAATAGTAATAACAGTAATAATAATACAT